ACTAGCACGTGGTTCCATCACGCATTATACCGTCAGCCACACATTCAATCGCCTGTAGGATCTATCAGTTTACTTGCATATTCATTCTGTTGTTCTTCGTTATCCGTCAACCAAATCAGCTTTCTTTCGAAATGTCGTAGGTACCGGTGCGCGCGAATATAAAATCTCACCTGAATCCTGATTTACTTCAGGTACCGGTGCGCGTCTTCCTAAAGTTAGCCACTTTCGAACATAAAATCTCACCTGAATCCTGATTTACCTGGATTGTCTTTGCTTTAAGCCCGTCAGCTTTGCTTTGGCAAGGTCACGGTGAAAAGAGAATGGGCCCGTCGGACTAAGGGTGTAAACATAAGCAGCGTGAGTGCCTGTTCGGAAAACGATGACCGGAAAGTTTAGAATAATTTTGTTTAAGTTCGTTTATGAAAACGACACTTGGTGATTTAATGACTGGGTCTTTATAATGGTGCCTGACATGAAGACATCGAATCTCATAGCGAAGACGACAAGGCCTACTTACAGAGGACGCTGTGGAATGTATTGTCTAGACAGTACTCGTATCCACTGCGAACGTCATTCGTGCAAGTCAAAACAAATGCCCCCAGTCACACACCTCTCTCTCACACACTCAAATCAATCCAAAACGGCGAGCAAACGAGGTGTGTCGGAGCAAAACCCTAGCAGCACTTCAAATAGTCAGGTGTTTGTCTGGAAACGTACTCGTTCATGGCTGTGTTACGTTAGGCAACATCGATCCGTACGTTCAAAAGATGATGTCGACGAGTTTTCAGCAACCTTATGAGTAGTGCATTACAAATGTGATGATTTCCTCCTCGCAATCCTAACGGGTATGAGTCGCTCCCAAATCATTTCGATCACGAGGTCATCAACAACAACAACAGGCCACACCATAAGTGTCCCCCTCCTCATCCTCCACTTTACCCATGCTGTTTCTAGGCTAGAAATAATCAGAACTTTACCTCCCTGTTCGCACCAGTGTGATTTTTTAATATCAGCTTTTCAATTCTCGGGACCGAAAGCGATAGACCCTTGGGGCAGATAGGATTCGAGGCAATATATCATGATCTGTGGACCGTTGTACTGCACCAAACATTTCCCGTGAAGGATTTTAGTCCCTAACAAACCATGCTCCCTCAGGTTGGTATCTACTTTGTTCAATTTGCAATACGAAACGAAAGTACTCGCTCTTCGTAATATCACACTCTCTGTGATGTGGTCACCTTGCTTACTGGTTCTCGTGAAATTGCTTGTTCGCACACTCACTGATCCATTGCTTTGTGCACCAAACCAGACTAGGCTATTGCGGTCAAAGTTAGTGACATTTCGAGTTTTGTTAAAATTCTCTGCAAACTGTCATGATGATAAATTGTAGAAAATCGCATGATACACCCATGGCGAAAAAGACAACTGCTGTCAGGCCTGCGGTGCTGATCAATGTGAACACCTTGGATGCACTTTTAAACTTCAAGCGATAAGATTTCATAAACTAGAAGCGAGTTCAACACCAGTGTGAAGGTGTGAACCACTGAAAAACTGCATTGCATCACTCGTGGGCACAACGAAAGTATAGTCTACCAGGATCAGTTCTGAGTTGCGTTTCTGTGCATGATGAGAGAGAGAGAGAGAGAGAGAGAGAGAGAGAGAGAGAGAGAGAGAGAGAGAGAGAGAGAGAGAGAGAGAGAGAGAGAGAGAGAGAGAGAGAGAGAGAGAGAGAGAGAGAGAGAGAGAGAGAGAGAGAGAGAGAGAGAGAGAGAGAGAGAGAGAGAGAGAGAGAGAGAGAGAGAGAGAGAGAGAGAGAGAGAGAGAGAGAGAGAGAGAGAGAGAGAGAGAGAGAGAGAGAGAGAGAGAGAGAGAGAGAGAGAGAGAGAGAGAGAGAGAGAGAGAGAGAGAGAGAGAGAGAGAGAGAGAGAGAGAGAGAGAGAGAGAGAGAGAGAGAGAGAGAGAGAGAGAGAGAGAGAGAGAGAGAGAGAGAGAGAGAGAGAGAGAGAGAGAGAGAGAGAGAGAGAGAGAGAGAGAGAGAGAGAGAGAGAGAGAGAGAGAGAGAGAGAGAGAGAGAGAGAGAGAGAGAGAGAGAGAGAGAGAGAGAGAGAGAGAGAGAGTGGAGAGTTGCACACACACACACACACACACACACACACACACACACACGCTTTTCTGCGGCGATTCCAACGTCAGTGAGTCACCATACTGAGAAAGATGGTTGAATCGTATGGAATTAAATACTCATTTGCGAATTAAGCTGGTGTGAGCGGGGGACGACACTAACTAAGCCTTTCGTTTGTACATGGCATCGCACCTAGATGACTGAAGTACGCGCAGAAACTAGATGGGTTGCTTTTGTGAAGCAGACTGAGACTAGTGTAGCTTCTGCCAAAGCCAAAACCTTCGATACCTGTCTCTTCGAACTGGGGGCAGCGCCTTCTGGAAGTGGTAATATCTCTTCGAGTTGCACACACAGATTGGTACTATCCTATAAAGCAGCCGAAGCTCGACGGGTCCAGTGCAGTTCGATCAGTACGGACCAGTCGGCCTGATTTCGAAACGTCAAGTTCGCACAAGACAACCGCGGAAGTAAAACGGCCAATCAAAGCCATGCCACCTCGGATGATCAACAGTTTCAACCAATAAAAACCACCCACTGGTGACAGAGCTCGAGGTCAAATTGAAGTATGTGTGGACAATGTTGTAGAGATGGTCCGAAAATACGATCATCACATTCACATTCCTAACGAATCGAGGGAAATATTTAATAATGCCCTCGGTGTTTCTCAGCCCCCCCCCTGTCCTTATTGCTAGTCACAAATACGGAACAAAGAAGGGGTACAGTCTCAATGGCCAGGAAGCTGCAAACAAATCGTCGTGCCGTGCAATCGTCAAGAAAGCCGTCTAGCAATTCGACAATTTTTTTGTTCGTGGTCTCATACCCGGAACAGACTTCAGCAGCTGCTTCGCAAATGCCCAGTATTCAAAGGCGCAGATAGAATTGAGCTATTTTCGCCGATTCCTGAGATTAAAACCATGTGTCTATTCAAAAACTTGGGCCTTATCAATCCTAATTTCACGAATGATCACGAGGTTTTCGGCAGAATACATTAAAATCACTTTCGGATAGCAAACAAACTCAACAATTCGGAAACAGAGGAGATGGTAATGACCTCCGTTGATATGCTGTTAATATCGGTGCTTTTCGATTGGCGGCGATCACTTGCATTTCAAATGTGTGGGCTTTTTTTTAATGCTAAGACCACGAATCGGTGATTAACCAATCCTCTGAGTGACAAGTCTGGATAAGAGGAAACTATTCACGATTCCTCATGTGCGTTCAGGAATTCACTATGGTAGGGATCGAGCGACACCATTCATTGGTTGGTGGATTTCTGTTGATGCTCCGATGATAATGATGATGTAGAACATTCAGTTCCAAACCACCAGCTGTCACAAGACACAAGCTGACAGCGGGTACTGAGGGTACTACTGAGTGCATGCTACACAACAGCTCCCCCCTCCACCACCACACGGAGGTATGTCATGCACGTTTATTCAAGGTCCCACGTGATCTGTGAATAGCAGAGGATAAACAAAACTCAAGACTGGAAAATATGCATTCTCCACCATCGTAATCGTATCAAGTAGTGGCTGTATGACTAAAAAAATATCGGCTAACATCTGGCTGGATTTGGTACTAGTTGTTCACGTCTCAAACTGGAAAAAAAACTAAGTTTTCACCATGTTTCTGATTCTCAAGAATGGGGAACGGTAGCCAGTCCGGATTCGACCACACAATGAAGGCCAGATCGTCCCCATGGCTATCTGCTATCTTCCCGTCTCAGGTACCCAGGATTTAAAAGCTAACCGGAGACCTAAGGTAGGTGGAGTGCCCAGATTTGAACACTCAGTAGTGCCTTCCCGACTGGATACTGTGAAACCCATGTGTCAGCGGTAATGTTGTTTCAGTTGTCCTTGCACAGATGACCGCTCACAAAAGACCGGGTTGAAATTTCCAAGTATCCAGGGAGGAAACTGATCGTAGAGAGTTTCCTAGCCGGAAGACTAGCTAAGCTCCATAAAGTCGGGTGGGAGTGTAACGCTTACCCTTCTGCTTAATTATTCCTCTAATCGATTTCCCACCGGCACCTACTACCCCCATTCCATTTCGTCTGTCTCACAATCACGCGTCAAAATCGTGTGACATGAATACGACAATATGTCAACTCCCGTTACATGACCTTTTGAACGACACCAGGTGATTTCACATTGTTTTCCTGTCCCGCTCATTGCAACGACCTATATATAAGGACAGAACACAATCAAGCGCGTACACACACGCAACACTCGCGCGACGGAACACAGACCGGCTCAACACACCAAAAACTGCGGACAACCAGGATCGTGTAGCAGGGAATCTGCCAAAAGAAACACGACTACCTGCACCCAACCGAACTCGGCGGAACTATTACAACTTACACTCAGAACGATAAGTCCTTCGTTTGAACCTTTCTATTTTTGGTATTGTATTGGACTTGATTGAGGTGCACCTAGTTGTTGTAACCTCACGCCCTCAAAAAACAGGTTTTATTAGTGTCTCTTTCTCGCCTTCTGATTTACCAAGTGGTTTTTGTTGTTAACAAAAGAGGATACTAATTGGGGAATAGCAAAAAGACATCAGAGATTCATTTCCTACTTACATTAGACAACGGGACAACCCGTCATTCGTGAACGATGCCTGTCCATTTGGATCCTACACAACTTCAGTAAATAGTTACCACACTTTCTTTATCCCCCCCCTGAAAGAAATACCTCCAAAGAAGGGTGATTCGCCTAAGCTGGTGATCAGCGGAGAGGCTCTGGACGGCTTACATTCGCTGCGATCCAAACCGCGGTAGTTCCAAGTAGACTGGACAGATTAGTCTAACCGAGACCCCAGTCATTGTATAAAGATCTGCACTGACTGACAATAACAGAAGACGAGTATTTTGTTCAGACGCATGTATCGGATACATACAAACATACATACAATAGAAATCAGGATGATCTTATTTGCAACAAAGATGCCAAAAAGATGATGATGATGAGCCAGGAAGCATGTGGATTTGGGGAAGTGAAAACTGAAATAAATCTTGTGGCGCTATTTGAAAGGCGTTGTAAATATTCAAAAGATGAGCGGGTATGGGAAAGTAAAGTGTGTGGGGGGGGGCAGTACATTGGTAAATGTTCGTATTCGTTTTTAAGAACTCCCGGGATATTTATTCACATGAGGGAAAGGACAGTGAAGAGCATCATACACTTACGAATTCCACAAATACCAATACATGATATAACCAAATTCGACCACCACTGATGAGTGAGTACTTTGTACAACACATCGTAGTAAGATGGATGCGAGAGTGAAATAGGTAGCAGACAAGACAGGTAGGTGGATTCATGCGTACTACAAGACTAAATCACAGACACTGATAGAAAGCCAATGGACAGTGAAGAGTCAGTGACCGAAAAAAATCGTTACTGTACAAAAGGACAGGAAGTAACAAGTTGATTCGCACGTGCCACAAACACAAAAGGCAAGGAAACAACGAAGAATTACCGATCCATACACACATCGGAGGGTAAGTGAATACAATGGAAACCGGTATAGTCTTGTGGGGATACGAGCACGCCGAAGCAAACAGCAAAACGGAACACGAAGAGGTCGATTGGTTGGACTGAAACGGTGCGGGCGGAACTTGTTGTGGGAAACTGAAACCGAGATAGCTGCAGCGCTGTACGGAGTACGCTGCACCGGAGTGGGTCATCGTAACAACTGTGCTTCCGTAGTTTCATCAGTCACATAGTTGGCCAGTTGAGGATCGGTCAGAAGTTGGTAGTCGTTCGATGTTATGGAAATACCCAGCTTGTTCGCAACATCCAGGAAGCTGGACGATGAACGAAGCTCGGAGTTGGGAGCATAACCAACGGACCCGGTGTTTGCAGCCGGTGGATTGGGTAACGAACAGGGATACGCAGAAGAGGACATCTACAAATATGGTGTACAAGGAGAGTGATTTTAGAAGGGCGATTCTCTAATGGAACGGGTAAGCTCGAAATTGCGTGAAAGCCAACTAATTGTACAACCGGCTCACGCCTAAAACCAGGTACTGTTAGATAACGAAATCACCATTTCCAAGGGCATCGTTTGAGATTCCCATACCCAGAGATGTGAAATAACGCCCACTTGCCTCCGAATCCTCGAGGATTGGAACATCTATCGTTAACAGTGCGCAAACGTTGCTCTGCCTAGTTCAGATCCTCAAAATATTTTATTCTGCCGCTGTGCGCTTCACATCTACCAAACAACTATGTGGAATGAAATCCAAACCAGATAATCGAGGTTGTATAAGGTTCGGTGAGCTGCTACCTAGAGACAAGATCACTTCTCGGATTGGGAAATCCGGGACAGATTTGGCCGAAATCTGACAGCAGAACAGTAACGGTGAATCAGCTTGTCTGTCAAAAGCACTGCGCACAAGGCTACACTGCAAAACCCAGTACTTTATGGATAAGAAACGTGAACACTACAAGGAAAGTGTATACGAAAACTCGGTGTTTGACTACCACCACTGTCTCCGAAGTAGTGTTTGGGACTGGAGGGAACATCAGACTAGCAATACGCCAGATGGTTTTGGGAAAAGGTAACTCTCCTGCCATAGACACGGGCTTCATAGAAAGTGTACTTTTCACGTCAGACTTTTTGTCAAGCCAGGGACTGAGAGATACAGACCGAAAGGCAACGAAGTAGGGAAAACAAAACAGCAATACACAGTCGGGTTGACCACGGATGCATTCCCAGATTAACACTCCAAGACTCAACTCATCAGTGCTTCATCATACTAGCAGATCTGAGTCAATCACACACATTCAGTGTCGTTTGTGTATCAGGACTATGGCCCCGCGTATGAACTCCCCAATTCCCCGCTCTACCAGATTCAACATCGACTGACTGATTACGTCATCTCCTCCAGTGTCCTATTCTCCCCATTTCCGAACGCCGAAAATGTGGCAGGTTGAAAGTGCCGACGTACGCTTGGCGCACAGTTTATAGCTGATGAGCTGAAGGGAACTGACAGACTCAATATTTCTCCGGTTCTAAATCACCCTAATCCCCCCTCATTGTTTTTGATAACTTGTTTTATTCGAAGTTAGCCCTCAATAAACTAGCCGATGAGCTCAGTGGTTACGGCGCGAACTTAGTAATCGCAAGGTCTGTGGTTCGAACCCGACCCGTGCCTCTCGAATTCCCCTGTCTAGGCTTGGGCAACCTGGCAGTATCCCGTTCCTCGGATGACATGGCAGTTAGGTACCGAAAGGGTTTTACAGCTAGACGATTTATTTTCGTTGTCGTAGGTGCACTACGCTGAGCCAAAACGTGTAGAGCATGAATACTGAGTATCTTGAACACACACTTTGGAGGAAACGAAAAATTCCATTCCACCTCCCTCCCCCCAAAAAAATCCGTTAAAAACGTAGGAAGCAAATAAAAGTTTATTACTCCATTGCAGAAAACGTGTGATGCTTTATTTATTGGTTACACTCTTGTTGAATAAGAGATTCTGAATCCCTAAAAGTGATTCATCGAGGGATTAGGACACTGAGGACCGTAGTTGAAGTGCAGATTGTCACCCGTGTTGTGGCAAACCTTCCGAGAATTCGCTAACACTAACTTCTACGGGCTCAATTCTCGGTGCAGCCTTTTTTCCTCAAATACTGTATGACCGAGTAAAAATTCCACACACATTAGGTGACACCTTAGAGCAGTTGTTGTGGATACGATAGGCGAGAACGGTTTAGAGACTGATTTGATGAGGACAACTAATCGATATCCCTTTGATTCAACAGTTTGATGTTTGTCAGGAAATAAATAAATAATAACCGTTCAGCTTTAGCACTCTTCCCGTGCCTAGCTGCCATACCATGTGAAGGAAGCACGAGGGCTGGGGATACTGCCGGTCGCCCAAGCCTAGACAGAGGGAGTCGTGAGGTAGAGGTCGAGTTCGAACCACAGACATTTCGGTCAGTAAATTCGCGCTCTAGAGCCCCGAACGCATGTGTTTCGCCACGAAGGATTTTCCGCAGGATTCGAAGATATTGTGAATCAAGAGTTCCGTTTACCTCCAGCTATTGGAAGAGAAGGAAGTTCAACAAGTTTGGCCAAATTATGTCAGCTCAGAAGTATCGCCTTTCAACACTATTTGACAAGCCAGGTGAGGGCTTAAGCCACCTGGCCAAGTGAAGACCTACTTGACTGAATTACCTACCGTGATGGAACTACAGTCAGCCATAGACCAGTTATATATGGGAGAGTGGGGCAGAACGGTTTATCTGCAGAGCCATCCACTTTGGAAGGACCCATGTTGTGGAACTTGCTAACCCACCTACCAACGACAAATTGGAAGATGGAAGTTGTTCCACAAGATTTCGAGACTGCAGCCATAATCCCTCTGTCTGAAAGGGAAAGGGGCCGAGAAGGACAACTACCACGTGATTAGCCTGTTCACGAGAATGTGACACGTGCGCTGTTCATGTGATCCGATGCCGGTATCACGGAGGTGAATTTCGAGGCGGTCCTGGTCTCAAAAATGTGGACGAGACCAACCGCCTTGTGAACTGTTTGGGGGATTTGCCACAGCCTTGGACTCAAGCACTGTGGATGTCATATCAAGGCTAGGTTGTATGAACAAGCTCTACCTTCCATTCAGACGCACGTGTTTCGTCATCGTTAAGGTGGACACTAATTCGACACAAGTTGGGCGGTCATCTCTGAGCACTTCCCGGCCAAAACACTATTGTGTGAGTCTAACTTCCGTGTGCCAGTGCTTGAGTGAGCTTTACTTTGCATTCTGAAGCGGAATCACAGTGGTCGATTACAACCTTTGGTACAGTAGTGACATTTCACCTTGGGTGAAATACGACTGTCTGCAAAACATCTGTCTTGTGCCAGACTGAACCAAAGGCCCGAAACCAGACATTCAACCGTATGGTTGTGGTATGTTGTGCTGTGTCTGAATTTTCGCCAACATGGTAGTACACTATCCACATAAGTAACGGATGAGTGAAGTGAGCTTACGAAATGTGGAGGCCAACAAGTTCTCTGGTCGCTTTGAAAAACGCAACTAGAGCAAGGCAGGGATACCACGATCGAGATATATCGGGCGGCTGTGCCAACATGCCTAGGTCGACAAACGGCTTGAAACACGCCAGCATGTCTGCCCGCCAATAATAAGATTCCCTCAGATTAACATCGGTACTAACAGCGGTTCGACCTCTTACAGATTGGCGAAATGAACTCGATGTCCATATATTCGATATTGTGATGTGCACGCAAATATCAAATGTCAGTGGTACATCATTCCGACAACAAAGAGGGAACATGCGACTCTGACCTACGAGAGTAGGTCTGCACTGAGGACAACTGGGAGATGAAGTTTGGTTTTATCTCTAACGGAGTATGTGTATTTGATAATGAACTCGAACCTCGGCACTGATTGCATTGATTTTGAGTACTGGGACGTATGAATGAGGCAGTACTCGGCGTAAATGCACGCCTCGCCCTCGTGTTGGGTATGGGCTGTGAACTTTGCCCACAAAGCGTGCATGTAACCCAGCGGATCCCATAAAATAAGGCACAGAACGAACAGGGCCTATTCGGTCGCACTCGGTAGCCATCTCCAACACTTCTTGACGTCAGCCTCTAAAGGCACATGCGATGTTTTCAGCCAGAAAGCGCAACTGTCGGAGTTTCCGTGGGCTGCACCGAGCTCGCTGCATGTTGAAGCATGTCAAAGCAAAAGGCCGAAACGTCGGCTGAGAAGGCACACACCGAAGGAGCTATCATCATCATCATCATTGTCGGCTGTAATAACCGCGTACTCGTCGTACAGTGGTTGTAGCTGCCGCAGTCTCGTTCGCCTGCGCATTGCAGGCGGGAGATGATAAATTGGTGCATAAATCCAGCACTGTCAGTGGGCTGTCAAGTGGGGGAATTGGGAAGGGAGCTGTGCATTGAACGCAATAGCTTGAATACACCAGCGCCATTGAGGGCGCGACTGGGCCATATCTGACGATGTCTAACTATTGATGTGGACCGTCTCGAGGTCCCCATCCAGGAAGACGGCAATGACCAGCGCGGCTGAGTTTGCTGGTAATGGCCTTCACACTTCGCTGCTAAGTCATTGTTTGGCCGCCTCTGGCTCTCTTCCACCCCTCACGTGGTTGTGCGAAAAGAGCCCTTCGANCACGTGGCCAAGCCAGCGCAACCTGTGCAGTGTGATCAGTTCACCTATCGAGGGTGAGTTATTTCTCCCGAATACCATTCGATGTACTTCAGCATTGCCGATCCGGTGTTCCCACCAGATTCGGGATAAACATCTGGTAATTGGATAAATTCACGTACAACCTAGGATTGACCTTATACAAGCCGCTTCCTTACCTTGCTGTAATTCGCAGCAGCAAGCGAGTTATCAGAGACCACGGACAGTCCACCTTTTGCGCTGAGAGCGACCGAAGTTGGGATATCCTCATCAGCAGTGTTCAGGGCAGAAAGAACTTCCGCAGCCATCGTACAGCTGTCCCTTCTTCCAGCTGAAAGAGGTAAGGAGGGGAGAAAAGAAACAGGATAAAGTTCTACAAAAAAGGTTCGTGGAAGGGTGATGATACTTCCTCCGTGGAAATAAATTGCCTTCATGAAGCGAAGTAATTGTGACGAGGACCCATACAACAGACGTCTAGCTAGTTAAATTAATGTTCAACCACAGGAAGAACTGCTGGATATGTCTTAACTTAGGAGGTCACCTGTACGGTAGGGTGTTTCAAGATGGATCGAGAAATATTGGCACTTCCCGCACATCATTATTCGTGATTATGCGAAAACGGAATACACCTAGTCAAGCTCTGAATATAATGAGTCAATAAGTGCATTTCGAACAGTCTTCTGTAAGGACGGTTATCACAGGTATGAGAGGATCTATCAACTTTTCAACAAGGTTGTCAAACAGTGAGATGGTCAGATAGATAGGTTGTGGACAGCCGATCGGTTCAGGACCAAAAAATCCAGTTTTGCAAACAAAGCCATAGAGTCCGGGAAAATGCAATCCAGGGAAAAACTGTTTCTAACCAGAAGTACATCATCCGATTGGTTGTTCAGTACCGATTTTGACGTGATAAGTGGAGCAGCATTGATCCTTTCTACATAGACCCCTTTGTTACTGATCCCTTGTCTGGTTTCGGTACGGGTATATTTTAGTTGCTCCTTAGCTTGATTGGTTGATCACGGACCGGAAGGTTCGTGGTTCGAACACGACCTCTGCACCTCGACTTCTCCTGTCTAGGCTTGGGTAACCTGGCAGTTCTCCGCCCTCGTGCTTCCTTTGAGTGGCCTGGCACCGGAAGGGTGTTACAGCTGAGCGATGATCATTATCTTGTATGTCACAACCGCAAAAAACTTTAGTGTGCGGTACTACGGGACTCGCCGAACCTGTCTAGTGAGCCGCAAACACAAATGATCCACTTAGTGTAAACCTTCTGCGGTAATACTTATCACACAAGCCAAAAGTCTAGCCGAGATTCGGTGGCCGTCAGGTGGCTAGACAGATTTGCGCAAGATAAATAGTTGGCCGGACAGTATTTTGTCCAAACGAACCGAATTCCATCGAACCTCTGATTCAGTGAATCCAAGGAAGGACAGTGAAATAGACAGAGGTATGGTCCAGCGAATTCAGACGTTCCTCTCAAACTACCAGGTTCAGTTGCCAGTTCATAAAGCATTGGCTATTAACAACGACGTTGTGTTGTTAACGGTGGCAATGCAGCTATGATATAGGTAACCACATTAGAGAAAGGATCACGTAAACGCGGTCACATATAGGCGAACGACAGTGTCAGTTAAGAGAACAGAGGCCTCGCATATAGAGTCCACCACACCCCCCTCCCCCCCCC